TATATGGAACTGGAACATTATCCCCAAAACTATCTATAATAGTAGAGTGCTGAGCATTATGACATATGGATCAGAAACTTTGACCTTAAAAAGCAACCTCAGGAAGAAACTCCTAGCCTCACAGAAACGGAGTACTGGAAACGAGCGGCGGAAATATTCAGAATGGATAATGTAAGAAATGCGACTATCAGAGAAAAGAAGGAAACTAAAAGAACTATTCTGGAAGAGATTGAGAAAAAACGACTGAAATGGAATATTTTTGTAGGCCATAAAGACCACGCGAATACCATGAAGTTAATGCTTCCTTTTCATCTGCCTCTTCTTCTCCCATATGCCCCTCATGAGCTCCGCGTGCTTACGTTTTCTCTCCTCAGACCACGCAACACCCTTTTTGGAGCGCTTCTTGCTCGCAAGAACCATTATTCTCTTGAGCGCCTTCCTGTACTCATCTCTGTCTAAACAATCTTGGTCTCTTAGCCCCACTTGGTCCATATCATCCTTAATCTGTTTAAAATACCCGCTTACATTCTTATGACTGTGGATGCGCTGAAAGATTTTATGGTTAAGTCTTTCAGGATTCATCCTTATCATATGGCCATAGAACCTCAGCCTTCCCACTCTAGCGTCAGTCTCTAGATCCGTTGTTTCTTTATATATTTCCTCATTTGACCTCAACCTGTATCCTTCAGGTGTTCTCCTAGGCCCGTAGATTCTTCTGAGAATTCTTCTTTCTATTTTCAGAAGGCTTTCTAGGCTGGGATGACAAGAAGTTTCTGTTGCGTAGAGTACCACTGGCTTGACGACCGTGTTATAATGTCGTATTCTGGCTTTTAGAGATAAGTTCTTCTTTTTATAAAGCTCACTGGTGGCAAAGCTTAATTTCTCTATTTTGGCGATTCTTTCCTTAAACCCTTCTCTCTCTGACCCATTGCTGCATATGATTTCTCCAAGGTATTTAAATCCCTGAGTTACTTTAATCGTTCCGTATTTGGTTTTTATTGTGTTCTTCTTAAAATTCGCGTCCGTGGTCATCAATTCCGTCTTTTCAAAAGATATTTGTAAGCCTGTTTTCCTCGCTATTTCCGAGAGGGTGTTTATTTGGGCAATCGCCTCTTCTTCAGTTTCTGATAAAAGGGCAACGTCGTCTGCGTATGCGAGACATCCAATTTTGACGTTATTGTTCCTAGTACCTAGGGTTGCACCTGAATTGTTGATTTCCCATAGTTCCTTTATGATCTTGTCGAGTACTACGTTAAACAGTGTTGGAGACAACCCGTCTCCCTGTCTGAGACCCGTTTTGATATGAAATGATTCACTGATATTTCCTTGGAATTTAACTTTAGATTCAGTCCCTGTCATCGTTAACCCTATCAATTTTCTAGTTTTTTGGTCAACTCCGTATTCTTTTAGTACTTCAAGTAGTGTTTTCCTATCTACCGAATCATACGCCTTTTTGAAATCGAAGAAAGAGATAAAAAGGTTCTTTTTACTTTTAGTCCTGTAGTGTTTGATTAATACCTTAAGGCTAAAAATTTGTTCTTGACATGATCTATTTTTTCTAAAACCACCTTGGTAATCCCCGATTTTAGAATCTACTTGTGGATAGAGTCTGTTTAGTAAAGCCTTTGAGAAAATCTTGTAGGTGACCGGTAGTAGGGAGACTCCCCTGTAGTTATTCACATCAGTTTTATCTCCCTTTTTATGTATTGGGTGTATTAAGGCTGTTTTCCATTCTTGGGGAATCTTCTCCTCGCTCCATATATCTATCATCAGCTCCATGATTACCCTTCTGAAGTCATCCCCAGTCAGTTTCCACATCTCGGCAAGCACACCGTCCTCTCCTGCCGCTTTGTTGTTCTTTAAAGATGCGATGATTTCATCCAGTTCCTCATCATCTGGTGGATATGATTCTGCTTTTGGAGGCGTGTTATCGACCGTTGTCATTCTTTCCTGAGGTTCTTCACAGTTCAACAGTTCCTCAAAATACTTCGCAAAAATGTTACAGTTTTCCTCACTCGTCTGTGCTAGGGTTCCATCCTTCCTCCTCAATATCAGCCCAGATGCCGTGAAACCCTTGATTTTCTGTTTGCAACCTTTGTAGAAGAGGCTAGAGTTGTTCCTCTTGAAGTTCGTCTCTATTTCAGATAGTTGATTATTGAAAAGCTTTCTCCTTCTTTCCCTCAGGATTTTGTGAGCGATCTTTCTTTCTATTATGTATTTATGGTAACTTTCCTCCGTTTTGTTCTGGTTCCACTTTTTCCACGCCTCGAACCTGTTCTGGATTGCCTCCTGGCACTCGATGTTCCACCACTCCTTTCTCTTGGATTTTCCTCCTGGAGCTAGCTTTTCGGCCAAGTCCATCATGTTCTTGGTGGTTTCCTCCCAGTTCTGTGGGAGTCCTAAGTTTTTCCTAAACACTTCCCCGTTATTTTTGACCAGATTTTCCCTGTCTATTTTTCTGCTTTTGATACCGTTCCTGAAATTATGCTTCTTCGTGGGAAACATCTTAATTTTTATTTGTGACGGGTAGTGATCTGACGTAACGTTTATAGCCTTTCTTACTTTAACGTTCTGGATTTCTCTATAGGACTTACTGGAAATGGCTACGTGGTCTAACTGAAATTCCCCAAGATGGTTGTTTGGGGAGACCCATGTATTTTTCTTGCTGGCTTTCGCTTTGAAATATGACGACGTTAAAAGTTTAATATAAATAAACGAAACAAATTTAATAATGAGTTTTTTTTTTAGTTGAATGAAAAATTAAGATTTTTTAAAATATTTTAGTTAAGCCTTTAAAAAATCATGAAGGATTGGTCACACGTTTCAGATATCAATCGACTTAGCATAAACAGTGTTGTAAAAATCAATCAACTGTTACCTATATCACATCATTTGTCTATAACAGAAGTTTGTCCCCCGAAAGAACCTGCTTTGTCTAATCACCCCGACAGACATTGAAACAACTCCGGCTTGTTAGATCTGAAATAGTAGCACATAGCTGGTCGTAATGCTCTTATTATATTTTTAATTTTACAGTAGTGTTTTGTTTTTTTTAATTTTCAGTATTCGAGTTTCGTAATGCTATACCAAACAAATAACTTCAAGCCTCCTTCCTATAACCATAGTCTCCTGCAATTCAAATCATTGGTCCATCCTTAGAAAACAGATTCCGTGTTTCCGACCTCAGTACCCCTCTTTCCAATAGAACTAAAACTTAAGAACATTCATTTCTTGCTCCCTCCTTAACTGCCTTCTGGAATCCCCTCTCATCTAATTAATGCCATTCTTATCCTCGTTAAAACATTTTCTTTTCCATTTTCTTCTCACACCCCAAACAGTCGCTTTCCTTTCATGGAATTTTAATTTCAGAATAGAATATTGATAAGAACTTTTTTGATATTTTATGGAAACACCAGGTGTGAATAATAGTTTTAATACTGTAGTTTCAACTATAAAGATCAATTCATAGTTTTATCTTATATATTATTTTCCCCTTACTTTTTTTTATTAATATTTATTCATTTTCCGCTGGTTATAGAACCAGTGACGTGGTTAAGACAGTAGGTGGGATCTCCTGGAGACCTGCTTTTCCCTACATCGTTGGGGACTGTATATAGGTAAATAGTGTATATAGATATTTTTTTTCTTTATTTAATTTACTTATTTTATTTTATTTATTCTATATATTTTTTTATTATTATTTAGTTATTTTGGTTCTGTTTATTTAATTTATTTTTTGTACATATAGTGGGAATGTGATCGTACCTCCCTATAACCAATGTCCAGTGACAGATTGTTATATTATTCAATAAATAAAAAATATCTATTCCGTAGATAATTTTCTTTTTTTGCTGCTTATGGGTTTTAACTGCTTATAATACTGATTAGATTCGATTAATTCAATTTTTACCAGTTCTGTTATTTATTTATTTGTGCCTGTTTTTTTTTATGCTTAAGAGAAACCTTGTCATAAAACTGATAATTTCCTACAATTATCATTTAACATAATTAATCTGCTATAGTTAAAAATAAACCGATAATATTTTTAATTATTACGAGAGTTATGATTTAAGAATAATTAAAATTTTTAATGAGTTTATAGAAAACTTGTTTGAAAATGGTTTTTTTTTTTTTTAAAGAGGCGGAAATTATTCAATACAATAATGAATTAAAATAAATATTTTGATAACAATTAATCCTTTCATATTCGTAATTTTACATTACAGTTTCTGCTGTTTCAAATCATTCTCGGTACATTTCAAGAAGGAGTCGTTTTTTACCATTTCCAAAGGTTGTTTTATTAATTCAAAGGTTGAGCGGGAAAATTGAGCTATCCCCAAAAATAATACATATAATACTAATAAAACTATGTATTAAAATCAACAAAAATAAAAATATTTATTTCAATAGCGATTCGAATTCATCTTCCGTTGGTTTGTACAACCACTTAAATTAATAAAATTAAATAGGTAATAATCAATGGTCATGGATTATTATTTCAAAATTAGCATTAACACTAATATAGCAACATAGGAGAACACAAAAAAATTATTGCTTCACACAAGTGGTAGGTACACACTATAAAAAAATCATGTATTCCTTATCAATGATAATTAATACCAGATAAAAACAATGTATAATCACTAATTATAATAATAAATAACGAAATTACATCAAATCATATAAAGTTAATTTTTTTTTAAAGAAGCAAAACTTGTATTGTTTTCACTATAATTTCGCTGATGAAACCAGAACTCCACAATTAATTTATATTTATATTCAGAAATACAAATTACAAAAAACAGGAAGGATGGAGCCTTTGAACGGCCAAAATACATTAGTCGACTTCGCCAAATAAAGACTTTTCTCGCTAAGATACAAACAAGTTCAAAATATGTCGAACTAAATGCGAATAGTTTGACATTAAATAAGGTTCTACTCAATAGCCAAAGGAATAATTTATATTAGTAATTGATAGTAAATCCTCTAAACAACAATACCTTATCCGAGAAGGCAATGAGCCAGCTGCTGCGGCGATCGGCCAATACTGGCCCAAAACCGCGCGCGCGCATCCACCCCCTCTCACGGTCCTACATTTTTGCCCTAAAACGGAGCATCTATCACTACTGCCTCCTCTCAATGCCTGGTCAACCCCTCCCCCCCCCCCCCTCCTCCAACTCCCCCGCTACAAACGTATATGCCCGCTATATATGTATATGTACATGTACATACACATAAAGTCACAAGCGTTTTTATACTGCAAGTAAAATAGTTTGTTGTAATTAACTGTGGCAATCCAAATCATATAGGAATACAAAAAATAAAATAAAATTCATTTAAAATAAACATAGCAAAATAATAAAATTCATTGTTAAATAAAGTATTATCAACAGAAAAATGACAATATATCATGAATCTTTGGTGGATTCAGAAGGGGGGGGGGGCTTGCACCCCTACAAAAATAAAATTTTAATTTTTAGAATAATTATGTATGTTAGTGATTCATTGGCATATTTTTCAAAATAAATTAATCAAAATTAGTCTTTGATTGCAAATTTATTCAACGTTTCGAGGAAAACTTCTTCCCCCTCTTCAGCAATCTAAAATATTACAATAAATAAATATTTTTTTTTTCAGCTATGAATCCAGTCATTATTAATAAAAATCCATAATGCTTAAGACCAATATCGTATAATTATATATATTATAATTCATCAATACAACATCTGATAAAAAATATAAACTTACATATTATTCTCCAAAAAAAGTGGGTAAGTAACAAAAGTCAATATAATAAGATTGCTTCAGTACAATAAAATGGATAAAAGTAACAATTCGAGTTGTAGATAGGGAGGGAGGGATAAAGATATTAAATGTGCTATTTTATAGTATGGTCCCAGGTGTCATGAATAAACAAGTCCTCTTTCATATTCAAAGTTTGTTCCAAATGTTTTTTTTATAAATAAATTTTCTTTTATTTATTTATTCTGAGCAATAGATAAATGAATCACTATGAAAAAAACAAAGGTCAAATCTGCGTAATTAAAAACATATGTTTTATATCTTTTATATTTTTATCCATGTAATAAAATATGTAGTTATTTTATAATTCGAAAATGATTACCCCAAATGGTCGCAAACAGGTTAATAATGTTACTAATTTTATAAATTTTAATGAGATTTCCTATTGTCAATATTAAAAAAAAAAATCTTGGCTCTAATCATTTACCTAAATAACTAAATTAGTAATTTTCATATTTATATTTTTTCAATAATTTGAATTCAATTTAATTGAAGGAATAATATGAACTAATCGATTATGGAAATGAATATATATATATATATATATATATATATATTATATATATATATATATATATATATATATATATATATATATATATATATATATATATATAGGAAAACACCATGTTTTCCTTTCTATCTGCTTGTTCCTAGATTCTGTTAGGCACTATATTGGTGCCTTCCCATTGATAATAAATTGTTGAAGAATGAAGAAACTTCAACAGACAATTATTTTATGTAGTAAAAGTATAGTTATGAGAATAAGAAAATAGAAAAAAAAAATAATAATAAATGAAACAAAGAAACACTATGAGATTAATCAACTTCTCACTTGGTTAAATTTATCTGGTAACAGTGCCTAAATAGAAATAAATGGAATACAATGAAATACTAGAAGAACTTAATTTATATAAGCACGATGACCAAAAACTATTAACAATATAAAATAATTTTTTTTTAAATTATTTTTTTAATAACAAAATAATAAAAATAAATTATAAGCTGTGACACACCTTAACTTCTATCTAACATTTGAGGCATCTGCTAATAAAAATGATAAACTGCATTTTATTTTTTTAAGTTTAAGTATCACTAAAAAGTTAATTGTTCTACCCATGCCTGGCTTGGGTCTGACATGTTATAAATAATGTTATGATTATTGAAGTAACCTCACACTTGAGATATACTTAATGTACTTCTTTCTATGTGATCTTCAATAAATTTATGATTGTGTTCATATATTGTTGCCTTATTTTACAAAGAGTTACAACAAACTGGCAACGAGTTGAAGTGTTCAAAGAAAAGAAGATGAATAAATAATCAATTCAATAATTGGTGAGTCTTATTTCTATTTTAAATACTTGTAGTTGAATTGTTATTCAATATCACTATTCGCTTTATATCAAGATATCATTCAACATTACATCAATTCAAATAACAGTTCTCCCAGCTACTTGCTGATTTCAGTGAAAGTCAGAAGAAACTAATTGATAGTCTTGGAACGATCGGTGGGGTACGGGAATCCAACTAACATCACCTCGTTAATCTGTTAATCTAATTTTAATTCTCCCTTTTCTGAATTTTGTCTCTACCTAAGAATCGTTCAAATTGTACTTAAGAAGTTTTGATAAGTCATTACAATTAATAGGCATTTCAACAAGTGACGAGCAAACCTGTCGACAACTTTTTATCAATTCGATTAGCGTTACTCATTTCAAACTTCTTGTGTCCATTATCGCACCAAAGGATCCACAAAAATCTCCTTACAGCGAGATCACGAAGACTTTAGAAAAACATCCATGCCCTAAACGAAATATTCTAGTTGCTCAGCACAGGTTCTTTTCAACGTATCAAAAATCCGATCAATCAATTCCCAATTATGTAGTTGATCTGCGACAGGATATAAATGAATATGATTTTACATCACCGTTTAAGTGTAAAACCAGTTATTCTAGCGTAAGAGCTCAGTTTATTACAAGACTATATAACTGTAATCGGAATTAAATAATTCGTATTGGAAGCTTAAAAAAATAATGGTAAAGAAATCGCGTTCCAACAATCAATGTCAAACAACACTGACGTGCATAGGGTTTCAGGCCGGCAGCCACGTCAGAGAAATCCACGGATGGATTCTAAATCACAGCGTCGTTTCACTAGGGAATCAAATGGCCAATTCAGCCGATCTAATTCAATTTTTCGCTCAGAATCTAGACTCAATTATCGAAAATTCGGTATTGATGGAGACATCTCTATAAAGTATCTGACTGCACTGTCGATCCTCAAAAGCATCGATGCCGATTTGTGATTGTTCATGTCATGTCTAGAGAGTCTGCTGTCTTTATTTGTTGTCTACTGTACCTATAAATGTTAATAGCATAACGTGAAGAGGCTGAAAATGCTAATTTTGTCTACGCATTTGGAATTAACCAAATCTTTGACATTTTTGAAAATTGCCACTCCAGTTTTAATGATAATGACAAATATTTTGTTCAAGTCAAAATCGAAAACAATATCAGGAATTTGGAGTCGATTCCGGGACTGGATTCCTATTACTGCTAAGGTCACTGTTCAATGCTCTCAAACTCAATTTACCACTCGAAAAGCCAAATTTAGCTTTTGGATCCTAAACTAACAACATATTTTGCCCATATGGGAAAATTCAAGTCAATTTCTAATACAAAAATCGAACTTCAAAATAAGAAATATTCATTGTTCCGGATGACAAAACCTCGCAGCTGGACAGAGTATGTATTCGACACTTGGGATTTAATCTTAATGAACTAGACAGTAATTCTGCACCAATCCTCATGTAAGTAAATTCTGTTTCAACCCTCGACGTGATTTTCAATAGGTATAGATCTAATTTTGAGTAAAAGGTGTTCAAAATATCACTTATAGTATACATCTTCGTGATAATTCCAAGCCAGTTTTTATTTGCAGCCGTGATGTCCTGTGCACTGAAGGAAGAAGTAGATATAGAATTGGATTCCCATGAAAGGGATGGCATCATAACAGAAATAAATCATAGTGATTGGGATTCGGCTATTTGTCGACTACAAAACGGCGATAAATCCTCAATTACTAACAGCTCGATATCCAATTAGAAGAATCGAAGAAATTTTGAACAGTCTCCAAGGGTCATCTTATTTTTTCCGAATGGACTTACACAAAGCCTATTTATACATCGAAATGGATCAGCAATTCAAACGATTTCAACTCATCGAGGAAGTTATTTGATAAATCGCCTATCATTCGGCATAAAGTGAATTTAACAGAATTTTGGAGTAGATTCTTCAAGGACTCGACGGCACAAGTTTATATTTCAGTAATATCGTTGTCCATGGCAACACAATAGAAGAATGTCGAAACCGTCTACAAAACTATTTGGATCATTTAAGAAAATACGACCTTCACTTGAATAAAAGGAAGTGCGAATTATTAAAACTGAATAGTACAAAAACCACATTAGAATTCGCTTGGACGCCGAAGCTTATAAAACCGTAGAAAGAGAATCTAAGATCAACTATCATTCTGGGCACAAGACAGCTCGAAATTGAAACTTGATGCAAGAAGGCGTTTTAGAAGCACACGTAATCCAGATGACTACTTCTCTTTCAAGACTTTTTGAAAACTTACCCAATCTTCCTTACGACGTGCTAAGGCACAATTCTTTCATACTTCCTTATCACCCCTATACCCCCTTATAAGCCCCAGATCCTAAGTCCAAATGGAAAATTCTTAAAAATCTCTCCGTAGTAAAGTCAAAAACCTGTACATCCTACCCTGTTTCTTTCGATCAACTGAATTTCCACTTTTCCAACCCTGATTCATTACCACTTTCCTCCTCATTCTGGGATCCGAAAATTTTCTTTAACTCTGAAAATTTCTATTTTGCAATTATTTCACCAGAAGACCTACTTTCCTCTGTCCTAAAATCCAGAACAAATGACTAAGGCCCGGATCTAATTCCTGTAAAGTTACTCCCTGGATTAATCCTGAATTCAGAAGACTGATGAAGAGAAGAGAAGCTCTTCGATTTCTCAAAAGCATACGATTCAGTCAATCATAAAATCCTCCTTTCCAAACTCCAAAATCTTTGAATATCAAATAGTGCTCTAAAGTGGTTCCTTCTTGTATCAAAGATCCCAAAAAGTCATCATATCTAATAAAACTCCTTCCAGCCCCTTCTTACTACCCCGCGATGTTCCTCAGGATAATCTGGAGGATCTTC